TAGTCCCAGCTACTTGGGAGGCTGAAGCCAGAGAATCACTTAAGCCCAAGAGTTTGAGGTTGCTGTGAGCTGTGACGTTACAGCACTCTACAGAGGGTGACAGCTTGAGACCCTGTCTCCAAAAAAATAAATAAAATTAAATAAATAAATAAAATAAAATAAAATAAAATGTACCAGGCATTAGTTCAGGGGACAGAACCTTCCCGACAGTGGATCTGACTGTATAATAAGGACAGTGATGTGATCGCCACCATTCCCTGCCTCTGTGACTCCACATCACAATTTTTCTACGGTTGGCAATTTCCCTTTCACTATTCTGTAAAAGTCCCATGGCCTCACCAATTGGAGCTCCGCCCTTGCTCTGTTCTTTTAGGAATGCAAAGAGGATAACAATAAAAATCAGGCACTAGAGTTAAGGAATTATTTGAAGAGTTGGAAAGGAGATCGAGGGTATTCAAATCCTAAAATCAGCTTAGCACTGTGCCTGGTTAAGTAGGGGAGCAAATAAATGCTTATTAAATCGACGGATATTGCTGAGCTCTGAGCAGAACCGAGGGGTGACTAATGGAGACGAGTGAGGGATCTTCCGTTCACTCTGCTGACTTTAGTGCGCTCCAGCTCCGTGTAGCACTAGGGTGCTCACATGCAGGGTGAACCACAGCGCTGAATATGGCACCATCTCTGTCTTCAGAAGCTTACAGCGTGGTGGAAGGAGCAGACATTCATTCATCCACTCATTGTCTCAGCAAACCCTTATGGAGCTCCCACTCTGTGCCCGCCACTGACCAGCTGTCCTTAAAGGAGATCAGAGCCTGGTGGGCGGCAGACACACACAGCATGAGAAAGAGCGAGCGTAATGGATACTTAGAAATGAGGAATGGCTGGGAGGATGACTTGAGCCAAAGTTTGGAGGTGGAGGAAAGTGACATGATTGTGGAAGAGCCCGTGGTCCAGGGTGGAGGCAACATTGAGAAGGTGACAGATGGGATTGAAGTGGAGAAGGATCTGTAGTAGGAGGTCAAGATGGAAAGTCAGAACGGGGAGGGTTGTAGAAGAATTTGAATGCCAGCCTGAGAGCTTAATTTCATAACCAAAGGGAATGGTGACTATTTTTTAAATAAGCAGACTAGTAGTATGTATCCGCGTTTAGAAAGGTACCTCTGACCACAGAATGAGCAAAAGCAAGAACAGGGAACTAGTTAGGAGGGCATTACGATTGTTCAGTTAATAGAGCATAAGAATTCCACCTAGCATGGTAGCAGTAGATGCAGATAGGAGGAGACAGAGCCAGAGAGCCAAGGAGGAAATTCAAGGCGAAGGGCTGTGCACCATTCAGAGGGGTCAGCACGAGAGACGTGCCATCCTCTTCCCTGGAGAGCAGCAGAGGAAACAAGATGGCCAGGGATAAACCCAAAGTCCTGGAGTAAGGCAGAGCATGTACGGTTCTAAATCTCTCTCTCTCTTTGTTTCTTTTTTGAGATAGAGTCTCACTACATTGTCCTTGGTAGAGTGCTGTGACATCACAGCTCACAGCATCTTCAAACTCTTGGCCTTAAGCAATTCTCTTGCCTCAGCTTCCCAAGTAGCTGGGACTACAGGTGCCTGCCACAACACCTGGCTTTTTTTTTTTTTTTTTGGTTGTAGTTGTCATTGTTGTTTGGCAGGTCCAGGCTGGGTTTGAACCCTCCAGCTCCAGTGTATATGGCTGGCGCCCTTGCCACTGAGCTACAGGCACAGAGCCTCTATCTTTTTTTAAATGACAGCTTTATTGGGATACAATTTATATGCCAGGCTGTGTGCAGTGGTTCTCGCCTGAAATCCTAGCACTCCAGGAGGCTGAGGCAGGTGGATTGCTTGAGCTCTTGAGTTTAAGACCAGCCTGAGCAAGAATGAGACCCTCGCCCCCATCTCTACTAAAAATGAAAAACTGAGGCAAGAGGATTTCTCAAGCCCAAGAGTTTGAGGTTGCTGTGAGTTATGATGCCACAGCACTCTACCAAGGGTAGTGAGACTCTGTGTCAAAAAATAAATAAATAAATAAATAAATAGCTCGGTGCCTATAGAACAGTGGTTATGGTACCTGCCACATATAGCCAGGCTGCTGGGTTTGAACCCAGCCTGGGCCAGCTAAACAATAACGAGAACTGCAACAAAAAAATAGCCAGGCATTGTGGCAGGCGCCTGTAGTCCTGGCTACTTGGGAGGCTGAGGCAAGAGAATTGCTTGAGCCCAAGACTTGGAGGTTGCTGTGAACTATGATGCCAGAGCACTCTATCGAGGGTGATATAATCAGACTCTGTCTCAAAAAAAATGATAAAATAAAAATAAATAAATAAAATGTACATGCCATAAAATTCATCACCATTAAGAGTAAAATGCATTGGTTTTTAGGATATTCACAGCAACTATCATCATTCTATAATTTCAGACCATTTTAATCACCCTGAGAAGAAACCTCATGTTATTAGCAATCTCTCCCCAGGTCTCTCCCAACAGCCCCTGGGAAACAGAAATCTACTTTCTGTCTCCATGGTGTTGCCTTTCCCGGACATTCCATACAAGTAGAGCCACACAACACATGCCATGGCCCTAAGACTTAGTGGATCAACTCCTAGTGGATCGATCCAACCCTGTGCTCCTCCCTTGTGAATGCCCACAGCCCATCCACCTCTTTTGCAGCTGCTGTGACCTTGACCCTGTCCCTTTTCCCTGTCCTCTGTTCTAGCTTTCTCTTGCAATGCCGGGGAGTTTCTGGATATGAAGGACCAGTCCTGTAAGCCGTGTGCTGAGGGCCGTTACTCCCTCGGTACTGGCATCCGGTTTGACGAGTGGGATGAGCTGCCCCATGGCTTTGCCAGCCTCTCCGCCAACATGGAGCTGGATGACAGCACCTCTGAGTCCACAGAGAACTGCACTTCGTGAGTTTGCATGTCACCCCCCGCCCTCTGCTGCTCCTCAGGCCGGGCTGGGAGGATGGGAAAGAGGAGGCTCGGTGCCTGTGGCTCAAGTGGCTAAGGCGCCAGCCACATACACCTAAGGTGGTGGGTTTGAATCCAGCCCTGGCCCGCCAAACAACAATGATGGCTGCAACCAAAAAATAGCCAGGCATTGTGGTGGGCGCCTGTGGTCCCAGCTACTTGGGAGGCTGAGGCAGGAAACTCGTTTGAGCTCAGGAGTTGGAGGTTGCTGTCAGCTATGAGGTCACGGCACTCTACCCAGGGTGACAGCTTGAGGCTCTGTCTCAAAAAAAAAAAAAAAAAGAAAGAGGAGCCACACTGCCCGGGTGAGAGCTGCAAGCAACAGGTCCCACAGGACTGTTGGATGTGACTCTGCCTCGGCCCACTCACTGCCCTAAGCTCATCAGTGACAGGCATTTTGTGGGAGGTGAAAAACACAGGGAAATAGAGAAAACATAGAGTAGATAAGGGGACCAAGGATAAAGTGGCCCAGGCTGCTTAAAACATTACCCAACTGGATTTCCACTGAGAAATCTGGGATCAGCCAATACACTTCCTCAACTGGACTGGACCACATGCTTGATTGCCGAAAGATGGGTTTCTTCCTGGCTTGGGTGCTAACTTCTAAAACTAGGTCTACCTAACTTGAGTTTATGAGTTGTTTATGGAAGAGAGTAGGACCAGACTAGAGCTTTGGTCAGTGCTGGCTGAGATTTTCCCAGCACCTTGAGACCCCAGTGATCAGAAATATCATTTCAGAAGGAAACTTCTCTCAGTAATTGAAGAGCTTAGTCCAGAGTATGTGGAGACAAGGATATTTGTTTTAGATGTGCATAACACATCCATAACTCTCTTTCTCAGGCTGTATGCCAATGGCAGGCACTATTCTGGATGCTGTACATATACTATTTTCTCTAATCCTCAAGAGACCCCTGTGAAATAGATATTACTGTTCCTATTACAGAGATGAGGAACTGGAGGCCCAGGGAGGTTAAGCGACCTGCCCTTTGTCATCCACTTTACGACTGGTGAGATTGGAATTCAAACCCAGTCTCAAGCTTCCTGCTGCCCCATAATGCTGCCTTCAGATGACATTTATTATGTGCAAGGCGATGTCAGGTTCTAGGGGGTAAAAGATGGGGGATGCAAGGATGTGAAAGGAATTGTACATTGCTTTGGGGGGGACACTACAAAAGTTTTGAGATACACAAAAATTAAGATACACAAAAACATCTTGATTACTACCTTTTCTCAAGATAATCACCATGATATTCTATGCACTTTTGCATTCTTGTAAACCATTTTTGAAAACACTCTTTCCACTTATTTTCTCCAAGCGGTGTAAGTTCATTTTCATTGGGGTGAACAGCTTCTCGGGGGCTGGATAACCTCCTTCAATGCGTGTGATTTTTTACTGTAGGGAATAAGAAATAATCACATGGGACCAAGTCAGGACTGTGGAGGGGGATGACTCAGAAATGTAACCTCTGTGGACTCCAGAAACTGAGTGGTGATGTTGGCTGTGTGGGTGGATGCATTGTCATCGTGCAAGATGGTCCTTTGCAGTCCTGTCCCTGGGCATCATTCTTGAAGCTTCCCGAAAACTTTTGGTAGGCATATTGCTGTGTGCCACTGAGCAGTGACAGTCCTTTGTTCCTCCAGAGGAACAGTGGCAACATGACCTCTTTTGGAGAAAAAAGTTGCTACCATTTTCTTCCCGACACTGCAGGGAAGTGGTGGATTTTTGTTGGTGGATTTTCACTGGGAAAATGATTCCACCCTGTCAACTGATCAAACTGGTAAATCCAGGTTTCATCACCAGTAACGATAGCAGAAACGCATCTAGACGTGCCTCCCGAGAGTCTGACCGCTATTTCTTCACACCATTCATCACGGATGCACTTCTGCTCATCTGTCAAAGTGTGAGGCACCCATCAGGATGAAGGGTTCCCGACTGGATGATAACTGTGTAGGGTGTTGGACATGCCAGTGATCCAATCTGTAGGAGGACTGCTTTAGTCCAAGAGTTTGAGGTTGCTGTGAGCTGCTTTGTCCTTAAATGTCATTGATGTTTTCACGAACCATTTTTTCTACAGCGGTGATGTTTTTCCTCAGTCACTGCAGTTGTCAGATGCCCCCTCCTCTTCTCATCTTTCAATAAAGTTCTACCTCTTCTAAATTTTTGAAACCAACAAAAAATTTTCTCATGGGAAAGAGTAATGTCCCCAAACAAAATCCCATTACAAACACTCAAGCCTTTTTTATTTATTTATTTTTTTTTTTGAGTCTCACTTTCTTGCCCCCAGTAGAGTGCCACGGTGTCATAGCGCACAGCAACCTCAAACTCTTGGGCTTATGTGATTCTCTTGCCTCAGCCTCCCAAGTAGCTGGGACTACAGGTGCCCACCATAACACCCAGCTAGTTTTAGAGATGGGCTTAGGCTGGTCTCGAACTCGTGAACTCAAGTGATCCACTCGCCTCAGTCTCCCAGAGTGCTAGGATTACAGGCATAAGCCACCGCACCCAGCCACCATACTCAAGGCTTGGAGACAATTTTAAATTAACCTGATTTTTTTTTTTTTTTTTTTTGAGACAGAGTCTTACTCTTGTCGCCCTGGGTTTGAGTGCAAGACATCATAGCTCACAGCAACCTCAAACTCTTGGGCTAAAGCGATCCTCTGGCCTCAGCTTCCCACATAGTTGGGACTACAGGTACCTGCCATAACACCTGGCTAGTTTTTCTATTTTTAGTAGAGACAAGATCTAGCTCTTTCTCAGGCGGGTCTTGAACTCCTGAGCTCAGGTGACCCACCCCACCTTAGCCTTCCAGAGTGCTTGAATTATAAGCATGAGCCATCGTGCCCAGCCCCTTTGAACCCACTTTTTAAATCATAGGAAGTCATTGCGTGAAAGTGCTCTCTTCCCAGCTCCGTAGCTGACTCCAACTGAGTGCCACTTAGATGGAAACAAATGAGGCCCTCCCAGCAACATGGATAAGCTGAACAAGTTGAAACTGGCATGGGTGAATCAGAAAGGACACCACTGTCAACTGTATTTCTTGGAACTGAAATAATGGACCATGACACAGTATGTCTCAAAACTTTCAGAGTTTTGAAAGTAAATGGGTTTCTCTTATACCCAAGCAATCAAATGGATAGAAAAATGGTGACACTTGGATTTCTAAAACTGGAAGTGATATCTCCCTTTCCTATACTTAAATCTTGTCTCAGCAAAGCAGCAGGCATTCAATATGTCGTCCAGTTTTAATGTTATTTTAGAGTTCAATTTTATGCATCCAATTTATTAGCATGACAACGAATGTTGGAGGCTGAGATAAAACTAGAGAGGACTAAAGCTGGAAGGAGAGAGATGTGGGTTAAGACAACCAGTCCCTACTTGAGTCCTAATGGAGAGTGTCATTTGACCCTGGATGAGAAACAGACCAGGCTGAATCAATTCCTACCTGTGTAAAGGAAGGATTTCTCTCTCTGGGGATGAAATCATTATTGCTCAGCAAGGCAGAAAAAGAGCAAGTTAATAACCTGTTTGCACAGCACAGACTATTTCAGGGCCTGGATCTTAAGGCATCCTGGGGAGGGAGGAAGAGGATGTTTCTTCTCTGCAGAAATGGACAGGAAATGGCCCTCTGGAGAGGTTTTGTGGTTGCCCCATCATCCTTCTGAAAGGCAATAATTGAGCTGGTCCCAGGAGCCCATGGGTCTGGCTTTCCTGTTCAGCTGTGTATTTGCCCAAATCCAGCCCCATCGCCTCAAACCTCACCCATGTGATCTGTGATGCCAGCATCACCTCCTGCCTGTTCTGTCTCAAGAGTTTCCCCGCTGGTCTCCTGCGTCCATTCCCAGACTGCTCTAGGCTGCTGTCCTCCCAGCAGTCAGATTCATCTTTTTAAAACAAAAACACAATCACAGCACTTTCTTGTTCAAAACCCTGGATTCTATCGTTACAGATTGGTCTTAGGATAAAATCCACTATATTCATATAGCCTGCAGGGCTCTGCCGCTCTGGCCTCTGGTCTCTGGCCATCTGCCCAGCCTCTCCCGATTATCTTCTCTCTTGCTTGCTGTGCTCCAGCCACCACGATCCCTTCCCTCCATGGCACTTTGAACTCTGTCCCTTCTCATAGATGACTCCTACTTACCTCTCAGGTCTTTGCCTAAAAGTCACCTCCTCACAGAAACCATCCTTGACCCTGGAGGCTCCTGTTACACACTCTCATATCATCCTATATTTCTCCTGTGGTACCACCTACCACAGTCATTACTATGCAATTGATTATGTGATCAGTTAAGTTTCTGTCTCCTCAGCTAGAAACGAAACGCTAGCCCAGCTCTAATCTGTTGTTCTGGTGTTTCCAGCATCTCCTTAGTGTCTAGCCCAAAGTAAACACAAAATAAGTAACTGGGACAAAACAGACCAACTGGATGCAATCTTCATGGTAGTATCCTGAGCTTCAGGAATTCTCCACGGTTCTTGGGTAGATGTGCCAGGGCCAAGGCGTTAGAAATAGTCCACAATCAGACTGGGATAAGCAACAGACAGTAGGAGTGAAGAGGGAGTAAGAGAAAGGATGTTGGGTTTGTTTTGTTTTTAGAAGGCCATCCCCCAGGTGGCACCTGTGGCTCAGTGAATAAGGTGCCGGCCTCATACACTGAGGGTGGCGGGTTCAAACCCAGCCCCAGCCAAACTGCAACAAAAAAAATAGCCAGGCACTGTGGCAGGCACTATAGTCCCTACTATAGCTACTCGGGAGGCTGAGGCAAGAGAGTTGCCTAAGCCCAAGAGCTGGAGCTTGCTGTGAGCTGTGATGCCACAGCACTCTTACCAAGGGCAATAAAGTGAGACTCTGTCTCAAAAACAAATAAATAGAAGGCCATTTTTTTTCAGGAAATAGACCAGGTTTGATGATTTGCTTGTTTGTTTTTGAGATAGAGTTTTGCAACGTTGCCCAGCCTGGTGTCAAACTCTTGGCTCACGTGGTTCTTCTATTTCAGCCTACCAAATAGCTGGGATTATAGGCACATGCTATATGTTCAGGATGTCTCATAGAAAAGAGTGGAAGCTCAAGTACTGTGACAGTGAAATAAGAATAAGAGAAAATAGACATGAACTTTAAAAATTAAAACATTACATGCAGACCACAATTAAACGAACTACCATTCCTAATCACCTCTGCATGTCAGTTTTCTTATCCTAAAAACTATGGGAAAGATAGTACTCTTCTAGGTTGTGGGGAGGGTTAGATGACACATGTAGAGAGTTTATGGTGATGCCTGGCTCTAGAAATCAATCAGAACATGTTATTACATTATTCAATGTGAAGTGTCCTCACCAGGGACAACACTGACAAAAATCAGAATTGTGATGCATTTTACAAATGTGACCCACTTGTAGCATTCTTTTAATTATTCATCAGACTTCAGGAGTTATTTATAACTGATGCCACAGAGCACATTGGCGTTAAATGTCTCTTTCAACAAGGAGAAATCAGTGCTGTTAGGTTAGCTAGGATGTTTGGATGAGCTCAGTTTATGTTTCCATTTTGAGAATAATACTGACTGTTTAAGAGCAGGAAAGACCATGTTATTCTACAAACACAGGTGGAAACCTGTCAACTGATTTGAGGTTGCCTTAAGTGGCCATTATAAAGCAACTGTAGACCTGGGCTAGTCTCAGGCAAAACAGTGAAATAATGGGGTTGTCCTTGATCACTCATCCTCTGTTTAATCCCCTGAGTCCTTCCTCTGTTGCCAGGGCTTTGTGATGGGATGTGTTGGTGGACAAGGTAAAGTTGATCTCTACCCTCACAGAATCTCCAGGCCAGCCAGGCAGATAGACAGCTGAAGAAGAATGAAGGTTTGATCTGAAGAGGAAACCCACATTTAAAAGAAACTAAGATGCTCAACCTCACTAGTAGCCAAGCAAATAAGATTTAAAGCCCAGTTAGACGCTACCGACTACCACATAGTATCGGCAACATTTTAAAAGTCTGACAGTTCCAAACTCAGAGAGGATGTAGAATTACACTGCTGGGGTGGGGGTGGGGGTAATGGATACAACCATTTTAGAGAACCGTGTAGCAGGAGCTGGTACAGTAGGGGGTTGACATACCCTCTGACCCAGCAGGTCCACTCCCAGGCATTCCACTCAGACGTGTGGATAAGGATACAAGACCAAGAATGTTCATAGCAGAGTGTGCACAATAGCCAACAGTTGGAAACAATTTAAATGTCCATTAACAAGTAGTGTGTAGGGTGGTGCCTGTGGCTCAGTGAGTAGGGCGCTGGCCCCATATATAGAGAGTTGCGGGTTCAAACCCAGCCCCAGCCAAACTGCAACCAAAAAATAGCCAGACGTTGTGGTGGGCACCTGTAGTCCCAGCTACTTGGGAGGCTGAGGCAAGAGAACCACCTAAGCCCAAGAGCTGGAGGTTGCTGTGAGCTGTGACACCACAGCACTCTACTGAGGGCAACAAAGTGAGACTCTGTCTCTAAAATAAATTTTAAAAAAAGTAGTGTGTAATTAAATATGGTACAGCCATGAAAGCGATCTTTGTAGTAAAAATGAAGGGAGAAGAGCTACCTGGGAGAATATGGATGAATCTTACAATCATCATATGCAAGCCTCTTCTCCCCAAAAAGCAAGTTGCAGAACATGAAAGTATAATACCATTTATGTAAAGTTTAAAAACATGCCAAGTACTACCAATATATTGTGTAGACACATGCATATAGAAAACCGCATGGGATGTTGAATACCAGCTTCAGGGAAGTAGTCACTTGGCGATGGAGAAGGGAGTGTGTTGCAGGAAGGGGGTGAGGTCAGCCAGGGGCACGCAGAGGCTTCTGCTGTGTTCTTTTCTTAAGCGGGGTGGCAGGTAGATGAGTGTTCCTTATGACTTTGTGTGGGTCTTAAATATTTCATAATATGCTAAAGATGAAATAGAATGTGGTTATGGATATGAGAAGGGAAGCAAAGAGAGTTAAGGGTCCCCAAAGCAGTGCCAGACAGAGTCGAGGAGGACTTCTTAGATCAAGTGTCATTTACTCTAAGAGATGAGTAGGAATTAAAAACAGCAGTGATTTTCAACTGGTGTGTCATGGAAGTTTAACTGTAGATTCAAGTGCGCGGTGAGATATAAAAGGTTGAAAACCACTGAAATAGAGGGAAGGAAGAAGAAGTTTGTTCTAGAAGAGGGAACAGGATGGGGGGAGGCCCAGGAGTAAGAGAAATTTGGCAGAGTAATTGAGAGAAATTCTACAGGGCTGGGAATTTGTGCCCCATCCTAAGGGTATTCACAGGGGTTTTAAGCGGGGAGTGATGCGATCAGATTTTTTGTTCTGGAGGAGCTCTCCACACACTGGCCATGGTGTACTCCCTGACACTGGATGCAGGGAGACAAATCTGGAGGCTAGTTCAGAGACAGCGTGGTGGTGGGCATAGGAAAGGCCCTTGGGTAGGCTGGGTAGAGTTGACTTACTCCTTCCGGTAAAAACTATTTACATGTAGCATCTTCAGGTGAATGTTTCCATGAAGTGAAAATTCAACTGATGAATGAAAAACAAAGAATAAAGTAGACATTTGCAGAAAAACAGGCAGATTAGACTGGGTAGACTTGGGAGTTCTAGAGGATATCTGTGTTTACTGATGGACTTTGGCAGCTTTGGAGTTAGGCAGACCTGGGTGTCAATCTTAGCCCTGCCACTGGCTGGCTGGCTTTGTGAAATTGAGCATGGACTCACCAAGCTTTAGTTTCATCGTCTATTAAGTGGAAAGAAATAGCACTTCCTCTTATTGAGGAAAAGAAATCATGACTTTAAAACATGTAGGTCAGCCGGGCAGGGTGGCACATTCCTGTAGTCCCAGCTGCTCAGACTCAGGAGGCTGAAGTGGGGGGGATCACTTGAACCCAGGAGTTTGGGGCTACAGTAAGCTCTATGATTGTGCCATTGCATTCCAGCCTGGGTGGCTGAGAAAGCCCCCATCTCTAAAATCAATAAACAATTACCTTATACGAAAACAATTACCCTGTAGTTCAATACCTGGGCCATAGTAAGCAACCAATAAATATTTACTCCCCTACCCCAGTTCCCTTGCTGTCTGTCTCCTGCATACTTCTGTAGTGGGGAGGTGCACCTGTCTGCCGGCCTCTTGTCGGCTGTACCCCGTGCTCCTGGATCTACTTTAGAGCCTCTTTAGTCACTCTGCACTGAACATTTTCAGATCTAAGCTTGGATTGTGAATCACAAGTCTGGAATTACCCCACAGACCAGAAGAACAGGGGACCTACACATGGCACAAAGGCCGGCAGGCCATGCTTCTGCCAGTGAACTTGGTTCCTGTTCCCTCACAGGTCTAAGTGGGTCCCCCGGGGCGACTACATCGCCTCCAACACGGATGAATGCACAGCCACGCTGATGTATGCCGTCAACCTAAAGCAGTCCGGCACGGTTAACTTCGAATACTACTATCCAGATTCCAGCATCATCTTTGAGTTTTTTGTAAGACCCTGGCAAGGGAGAGGGCGGGAGGTAAAGACTCTCTGAGGCTCAGATTGATTTGCAGAAATCAATCATGGGCCTGCTTGGGACATTATGGCTGCTGTTTTCCCTCTGGACAGAAAGAACTATGGGCAAAATGAGCTGAGGCCTCAGAGGCAGAGAGAAAAGGCCATAGTCAAGAGAACTTTGGGAGGGAGAAGAGAATCTGGGAGATTTCTAGGTGTTTTGTCTGGCTCAGACAAGAAAACAGCACTCCTGAGTCACAAGTTATTTCTTTGATGTCAGTGCTCAGACATCTGTACGTGGCTCTAGCTCCTGCCCTACTTTAAGACTCACGTGTTCTGAGACCAGTTCCTAAAGGAAATCGACCATTCTTCTCCCAAAAGAAGGTCTTTTAGGTGGGTTGGTGCAGTGTAGGGTAAGGCACCTGTTTCCTTAGACCGCTGAGGCTCTGGTCCCAAACTCCTATCCCTCAGGTCCAGAACGACCAGTGCCAGCCCAATGTGGATGACTCCAGGTGGATGAAAACCACGGAGAAAGGATGGGAATTCCACAGTGTGAGTATCACACCAGCCTTCTCCTGGAGATCCCAGAAAAGGGTCCAAGGGCCTTTCCTCAGAGATTGCCTCCTCCCCGTGTGAGCCTCCACCTCCCCCGTCCCCGGGTTCCCGAGAAAGAAGGACTCTGATGTGACCAGGGTGCTAGTTGCCTCTCTCCGTTGGAGTTGATGGAATATGGGTGTGTGCTGACTTATGGCTCCGAAGGGTTGACCCAAAGACCAGCAGCTTTCTAGCTTTAAGGCTGGGCTTTCTGGGGGTGGGGGCTCTTTCTTATAGAACCAAGAAGAATGAGGGAACGCCAGTCACTGTGTTGTTGGTACCTTCAGCTCCCTTTACCAGTCCAGCTATCAGAGATGCTCGTGGAATATGTGATGGGGGGAGCAGAAGGAGAGAGCGCGACAGGGTTGTAGGAGGAGGGTTAGAAAGAGAGGGGACCTAAGCTAAGGTGGGAGGAAGGGCAAAGCTGAGCAAGAGGAGGGAGAGGGTCAGAGTAGGCACTGCCAGGCAGGCTATGAAGGGAGGGGTCCCAACAAGAGGCCACACCAACAGATGAGCGATATCTGTCTCTGTGATGAACTTCTGCCTCCTGTTTGTGGTTTTTAGGTTGAGTTAAATCGAGGCAATAATGTCCTCTACTGGAGAACCACAGCCTTCTCGGTATGGTCCAAGGTTTCCAAGCCTGTGCTGGTGAGAAACATCGCCATTACAGGTACTGAGAGCAGGGCTAGATCTCGGGTCTGTTACTGACTTTCTGACCTCTTGACCTTGCAGGGAGGTGGGTGTTTGTCCCCAGGGCCCTCAGTCCCCAGGCTCAATCCTTGCTTTTCTGTGCTGTCTTTTTCTCCCCAGGGGTAGCCTACACTTCAGAATGCTTCCCCTGCAAACCTGGCACATATGCAGCCAAGCAGGGCTCCTCTTTCTGCAAACTTTGCCCAGCCAACACTTATTCAAATAAAGGAGAAACTTCTTGCCACCAGTGTGACCCTGACAAATACTCAGGTGATGTTTCTGAGGACGGAGAGAGTTTGGGAGCATGTATGTATGTGTGGGGAGGACCAACAAATACACTGGGAAAAACCAGGAAATAGAGCCATCCTTCTGGCTGAGCTGAGGACGATAATTCTTAAACCCTTCCCTTCTGGGCCCTGGAAGACCCTTGCCAATCTATATTTCCACTAATTGCTCTGTAAATAAAAATGAAGTCATTTGGTAAATATTTATTGAGGCTCTCCCATCTGCCAGTCCCCCATCTGCCAGGCCTTATTTTATGTGCTTGGAATACATCTGTGAAGAAAACAGACAAATGTCCCTATTGTTATGGAGTTTGCATTCCAGTGGGGAGAAGACAGACTACAAAAAATAACAATAAGAAATAGGACAAGTGTGGTGGCTCATGCCTGTAATCCTAGCATTTTTGGAGGCCAAGGCAGGAGGATCACTTGAGGCTAGGACTTTAAGACCAGCTACCACAATATAGTGAAAGCCCATCTCTATAAAAAAGTAAAAAAAATTACCTGGGCACAGTAGTGCACAATTGTAGTTCAGAGTCTGAGGCAGGAGGATTACTTGAGCTGAGGAGTTGGAGGCTGCAGTGAGCTATGATGTTACCCCTTCACTCCAGCCTGGGTGACAGAATGAAACTCTGTCTCTAAAAAATGAATAATTTGGCTCGGCGCCCATAGCACAGTGGCACCAGCCACATACACCAAGGCTGGTAGGTTCAAACCCAGCCTAGATCAGCTAAACAACAATGACAACTGCAACGGAAAAATAGCTAGGCATTGTGGCGGGCACCTGTAGTCCCAGCTACTTGGGAGACTGAGGCAAGATAATTGCTTAATTAAGCCCAAGAGTTTGAGGTTGCTGTGAACTGTGACACCATGGCACTCTACCAAGGGCAACATAAAAAAATAAAAATGAAACCTTATATAAGGTTATAATTATAAACAATAGATACAGTAGACAGAGGTATAAATGTATACATCTTAATTTATAGCAATTATTATCAAGTTTATTTATAATAACCACGAGGTTGCACTGATGAGCACAAGCATTTTGATAACACATAAGTTACGATCTTTTTTATCCACCTCAGAAGCTATTGAACTCAATGCAGGCATTTTGGGAAATACAAGGTTTCTTGGAACACAGTTTGAAAACTGCTACTCTAAGGGACACTGAAGGGACAGCCTGAAGTAGCTTGGTTTTACAGTTCTTGGATAGCCTCCTAAAGCATCCCAATTCGACAAACAGAGCTTGGTCATTTAAGGGAGCTCTAGGGGGTACTGAGGCCCTGGTGTGGGATGGGCAGTGCCCCCAGATGGCCCTTTGCTCAGGCAGTTGCATGGGGTCCCACCTTCAAGGCAGGTTCTGTAACAGACGAGAAGGAAGAGAGAAACAATCCCCTCTTTTCTCCTGGAAACACTCATAACTATTCTATTTTTCCTTTCTTACACAGAACCACATGTAAACCCAGCACAAGGCCCCTTCTCAAACAAAACCCCACACAGACACACCCACACCTCACACAAGTGTTATAGTATGTGTTTGCTCAGCCAAGACCAGCCATTGACCTTGTAAATTGCTTATTTGTACACTTTTCCTAAAACAAAAGTCCTATTGATCTACACAGATCTTGCCAACTGAGTGTAGTTTTCAATCAGAACAATGCTGTTTAGATCTGGGAGGAAGCTTTTATCTATAAGCCTAAGTTCCTATTTTTCCACTTGAATTTCTTACATGTATTCCTCTCCTCCGCTCTACCTCTATCTATGGCAGCCTTTGTTAGTCTAAGTCTCTGGCTCCCTTTCCTGCCCAGCAGTTGTGCAAGGGTTTCATTGGAGAGGTGGTTCTAGAAAAATTGCCTCCGTATGTTTTGCTCAACTCTATGCAACTGATTTTTATTCAGAGACCTGTTACGAAAGCATTAGGTTAGCAGTCTGAATTCTTGGAGTCAATTCTCCTTCTGCCACCAATTTCTCAGTCTACTTGTTTGAGAAGTGAGTTTTTATTGTGAAGAATGTGGTCAACGTGTTAACTACCTCACCAGCTTGGGGTACAAAGAAAATCACATTTCTTAGAGACTAGACTCTACCAGAATTCAGGGTCGGGGCGGGGGGTGGGGGGAGGCTGGCAAAAGGCAGAGTCTGATGACAGCCTATGGTAGAATGTGTGTGAAGGGAGTAAGAGGAGACCCATCTGTTTACAAAAGTATGCTGAGTGCCTGCCAGGTACCAATGACAGGGCTTGGTGCTAGGGGTAGAGCTGGTGCCTGCCCTTCGGCTTATGTCAAAAGTGGTTATGTAAACATCTGAGTGCAGTAACTCTCTGTGGAGCAGTAGATGCTGGATAGGAGTGCTGGGTGTTGTATGAGTGAAAGGGGGGAAAAAAAGGAAATGCTAGAACCTCTCTAGGAAAGGAGAAAAAGCTTCACCAGCTGAGGTCTTTAAAGGTGAAGGGTGATTTGATGGGGGCAGGACTTTGGGGACAGGAGAAGTGAGCCAAGGCCAAAAGGCTTGGGGACTGTGAATAACTCACTTTGGCTGGAGATGAGGTGGAGAGAAGTAGCATCTGAGGCCAGGAGGCAGGCAGGGAACACGTCATGGACCAGCGCTTCTGTGCTATTGTGAAAACAAATTGAGATTTGGCCATTAAAGAATTTTAAACTGGACAGTGATATGATCAGTCTGGCTGGTGCTTTGGAAAGGCCCCTCTGGCTGCCACATGGAGGAGGGAGGGAATGGCTGGAGGCAGAGGTCACGGTTGGCATAGATTATATAGGACTTTCAAAATGGCAAAACATTATCTTATTTATTGCTCATAGCATAGTATGGGAGTGATTTTACCATTTACAAAGAGAAGCTCAGAGCCATTAAGGAGTTTGCCAGGAGTCTAAACTGGTGTCTGAGTTGGGCCTTGTGTTCACTAGGTACCTAATCCCTCAGGGGAAATGTTTTCCTTTGATGAAATGGGTCCCAGTGAGAATGTTGTACTCCTGGAGGCAGAGTGAAGATAAGGAAAGAAGAATTAGTAAAACGTGGTATCTGTACACTGTGGAGTATTACTAAGCCATAAAAAAGGTGAACTAACACCTTTTGTAACAACCTGGATAGAACTAGAGACCATCCTCCTGAGTGAAGCACCACAAGAATGGAAAACAAACATCATATGTGGTCACTTTATAATTGGAACTAAATGACCAACCTGCATGTATATATACGGTAGTAAAATTCATGGAGGTCAAACAGGCAGGAGTGGGGCGGAGGGGATGAGTAAATTCACACCTAATGACGCAGTGCATGCTGTCTGGGGATGTATACAATTATAACCTTGCCTCAAATGCTACAAAAGTAATGCATGTAACCAAAACATTTGTACCCCTGTAACATTCTACAATTAAAAAAGAAAAATAGATGGGTGGCACCTGTGGCTCAAAAGATTAGGGCACCAGCCCCATATATAGGAGGTGGCAGGTTCAAACCTGGCCCTGGCCCCTCCCCCCCAAAAAATGGAGGAGGTAGGTGCAGAAAGAGGAGTTGGAGGCCCTGAGATAAATTTGATCTTCTTACAGTTTTGCTCAGGGCCAGTCCTGCTCAAATCCCTCTCCACGCCCTCAACCAAACATTAGGCTGATCTTTCAAACTTGACTGGTATCCAACTTAAACACCTCAATGAAACCTGAGCTAAGAAAGTGAGGTCTGTCTCAGCATTTAGGTTAATCATTTATTAAAAACCACTTTAACAGTGGCCAGCATGTAAACAGCTGGGCCATTTTTGCTAAAACCCAGAACTGGGATGTCAGGCTGAGCAAATATTTGACAAGCAGAGAAAGGGCTTTGTGTGGAATGCATTTTCTAACACATAACTTGTACTTTGCTAGACCCAATACACAAGGTCCTGGGAATTGGCACATTTTCATTGCCTCTCCCCAGGCTTCTCCTGGCCAAGGCAGTCCAAAGCAGGAGTCCCTGCATCCCTCCATGCTGAATTCTGCTTGTTAACAAAGTAAATGAGCTGAGAAGACCCCAGCTGTTTCTCAGCCAGTCATTCCCTCTTGCCCAGCCTAATAAGACAGGGACAGAAGAGGTGTGGAGATGTGCAGCTCAGGGGACTTCCCAGTGCCCACCAGCAATGCTGTCATTAAGAGAAAGTCTGATCTGGAAACTCATGTGGTGCCTTGGGAAAAAGAAGGGATCAATTGAGAAATAAGCCCTTAATTGGAAAAGAGGGAAAAATCTTTTAATCCTAATTAAATCTCCCATGACGGTTTCCAAATAAAAATAATCCCCAAACATGCATAGTTGTTACTGCTATTTAGTGAGTATCTAATTATAATGTGCCAGGTATGTGATGGCTCCAGCAAGGCAGATAGTATTATTCCTGCTCTACAGATGAGAAGGCTGAGGCTGAGACGGAGATGAACTTGCCTAAAGTGACACAGCTACTAAATAATGAAGCAGGATCCAGACCCAGATTTGGCTAACTTAAAAATCTCATTCCCGTAATCATACTGCCTGCCAGGTGATATGTCCTGCCAGTAGGACCTTCTTTGTAAGTTGACCACACAGGGGACTAACAAAGTAGTCAACATACTGAGGTGGTCAACATAAGAAACTAGGCCTACTATACTGACATGTGGTGCATGTCCGGTCTATAAAAATTAGCTCAACTTGGGCAGCACCTGTGGCTCAGTAGGTAGGACATTGGCCCCATATACCAAGACTATCAGGTTCAAACCCAGCCCTGGCCAAACTGCAACAAAAAATAGCCGGGCGTAGTGGCGGG